AACATTATTAAATATTCACTGTACCAATCATCATGCTGCCTCACATCATCGTACGATTTGCCTGGCAGGTTGCTCAATGCAGATTGGATAAATGCATCTTTATCCTAGGGAAACGTTTGTAGAATATTTAAAATATAGACATATTACATTGGGCCTGTATTCAGGGTCAAGAAATATCATGGTCTGCTGTACCTTTGTTTTATTGTGTTGTTTCAATCTGAGATACTCCTGATGATCGTAGTCATCCCAACCCCCCTGATGGCCACCAGTCTGTGCTAGAAAACGCTGGAGAAAAATAGAACCAGGATGGATTGTTGCTTTGAATGGTAATATATCATGAAGAGAATCCAGAGGTAGTACATGTTACTTCTTGAATGTGGGCTACCCTAAAGTGATCTGATGTTGTACAGAACTCACTGCTGAGTTAAGCATGGTTAGATTATGCAGAGGTAGTACATGTTCTTGAATGTGGGCTACCCTAAAGTGATCTGATGTTGTACAGAACTCACTGCTGAGTTGAGCATGGTTAGATCATGCAGAGGTAGTACATGTTCTTGAGTGTGAGCTACCTTAAAGTGATCCGATGTTGTACAGAACTCACTGCTGAGTTAAGCATGGTTAGATCATGCAGAAGTAGTACATGTTTTGAATGTGAGCTACCTTAAAGTGATCTGATGTTGTACAGAACTCACTGCTGAGATAAGCATGGTTAGATCATACAGAGGTAGTACATGTTCTTGAATGTGGGCTACCTTAAAGTGATCTGATGTTGTACAGAACTCACTGCTGAGTTAAGCATGGTTAGATCATACAGAGGTAGTACATGTTCTTGAATGTGGGCTACCTTAAAGTGATCTGATGTTGTACAGAACTCACTGCTGAATTAAGCATGGTTAGATCATCCAGAGGTAGTACATGTTCTTGAATGTGGGCTACCTTAAAGTGATCTGATGTTGTACAGAACTCACTGCTGAGTTAAACATGGTTAGATCATACAGAGGTAGTACATGTTCTTGAATGTGGGCTACCTTAAAGTAATCTGATGTTCTACAGAACTCACTGCTGAGTTAAGCATGGTTAGATCATACAGAGGTAGTACATGTTCTTGAATGTGGGCTGCCTTAAAGTGGTCTGATGTTGTACAGAACTCACTGCTGAGTTAAGCATGGTTAGATCATACAGAGGTAGTACATGTTCTTGAATGTGAGCTACCTTAAAGTGATCTGATGTTGTACAGAACTCACTGCTGAGTTAAGCATGGTTAGATCATACAAAGGTAGTACATGTTCTTGAATGTGAGCTACCTTAAAGTGATCTGATGTTGTACAGAACTCACTGCTGAGTTAAACATGGTTAGATCATACAAAGGTAGTACATGTTCTTGAATGTGAGCTACCTTAAAGTGATCTGATGTTGTACAGAACTCACTGCTGAGTTAAGCATGGTTAGATCATACAAAGGTAGTACATGTTCTTGAATGTGAGCTACCTTAAAGTAATCTGATGTTGTACAGAACTCACTGCTGAGTTAAGCATGGTTAGATCATACAAAGGTAGTACATGTTCTTGAATGTGAGCTACCTTAAAGTGATCTGATGTTGTACAGAACTCACTGCTGAGTTAAGCATGGTTAGATCATGCAGAGGTAGTACATGTTATTGAATGTGGGCTACCTTAAAGTGATCTGATGTTGTACAGAACTCACTGCTGAGTTAAACATGGTTAGATCATACAGAGGTAGTACATGTTCTTGAATGTGAGCTACCTTAAAGTGATCTGATGTTGTACAGAACTCACTGCTGAGTTAAGCATGGTTATATCATACAGAGATAGTACATGTTCTTGAATGTGAGCTACCTTAAAGTGATCTGATGTTGTACAGAACTCACTGCTGAGTTAAGCATGGTTAGATCATACAGAGGTTGTACATGTTCTTGAATGTGGGCTACCTTAAAGTGATCTGATGTTTTACAGAACTCACTGCTGAGTTGAGCATGGCTACATCATACAGAGGTTGTACATGTTCTTGAATGTGAGTACACATGTAAGTCCTTAAAAAACCTTAACAACAGTTTTATTAATTGATGCTAAAGATGCTCATTCTATATTTAAATATATAAGATTACAAAGGGAAGAAGGACTTAAAATAACTTTTAATATGTATCGCGCCGTACAGGCGTGCTCGTGCAAATAAATACTTCATGTTAGTTGACCATAAAACAAGCTTCGAACATGGAATACAGTATACTAGTAAATTAGGTTTTTACTGGTAGTTCACTATATGTTTTTTTCAGATTTACTTGGCATTGTGGAGCGTATCGTATCAATTAAAGTTTCTCTATTGTATGAACACTCCCCGAAATATTGGCTTTGCTGTTGCTGTTTTGCCGCATGCTCGAGACAGTGTAAAGAAAATCACAGCAGCCTGATGTCTAGAGCCCTATAATTATTTCTTCTACACAGATAACGTTAACGATAGAACTCTCCTGATACGATCAACTCCCCCTATAACTATATAGCCGACGAAATAACACTGTATACAGGTAAAAAACTAAAATAGTTTTGCAGAATGCTTCTGGAGAAAGGAGCTGATACCGTTTTAATGCATGGTTTTGTTTAATTTTCCTTGGTCTAACCACAAACCGATGTTTGTTTAATTTACTGGGTTAAGTAGAGCGTTTTTTATTTAATATTTTGGGTGGGCAACAAATCACAAAATCTAACTGAGGCGTTTGTGAACGGCGCGAACATCTGTCATCAACAGATGTCTTGGGGCGATGCTACGTAGTTTTTGACCTCTAGAAACGATTTTACATCTGCCAAAGGCGTACAGCCCACGTTCAGAGGCTTAACGAACATTCTTTGTTTGTATTTGACTGCCTTATTGCTTTTTTCATGCAATTTTCTGGGCCATTGCTCGCGAGAAAATTTATGCGGCGAGTCGCACGACCACAAACGCGCGTGCCTTTTAATTTTAAAACAAACTTTAATTATGAATTTTCCAGTGCGATAGGCAAGCAATGAAAGATTCTTATCTATATAGTTAACATTATTTGAAGCTAAATATTTTGGCTTAAGAAATTTCACACTACAGATTTTTGGTTTGACAATATTTAATTGTATACGCCAGTCATTAGTATGTCCATGTTAATTGCCGACGTTTGTTTTACTATCCAACAAACACTTTTTGTACTTATTATATTGTATATATGCTTTAAGCCACTTGGGTTTTTTTCCCAAATAGGAAAATTAAGCATCCTGGCGAAGTGTCTGCTTTTAACTGGTTTATCTTGTATAGACTTAATATTTCGCTTTAAAATTTAAAGTTTGAAACCTCAGTCGAATCGTTGAAAGCACTGAATGATAAATTTAAGTACAGTAGCACTTAAGATTTAAGATTTAACTGAAATATCGAAGGTCGTTAGCGGTTTAAAATTGCCGAAATTACGGTGAACCGCCGCGCAGTTTAAGTGTGAATGCTGTCAAAACGTTTGAAAAGCTTCGCTAAATGTTTACATATTTCGTTAAAAAGCTTGGGAAAGCGAAATGATGTCGTTTGCTGTTCCTTTGGGTACAACACAGGCTTTTACAACGCGTTCTGTTTGACGTTCCCAGCTGAGCATACGGGCTGCGAGAGAAATTTTTATCCTTGGCATTCGGTGCTATAGTTTTATACAAATTTCCGAACGACCGTGGGAGATGTGCAGGTGTGCCCAGCGTTTTGCTTCATCCACATTCAAACGTCGAAGCCTAAACTACGGCGCGTTGAAACGCCAAAAGTGCAAAACGTCTGCGCGTTTTTGCGCAAATTTGCGGCGCGAAAACGCAGTCGATTTCCCTTGCTGTACGTACTTGTGATTTCACGCGATTTCATTTGATTTTTTATCGTTTTTTACCGGCAAACAAGAAAGTGAGAATTATTTGTTTTTGGGAAAATATCACGGCGTTTTGCATGCGAGCTCATTAGATGAGCTTGGAACAGCTGAATAAAGTGGGCAAAGAGTCCTTGACTTACTAAACTTTTAATGAAACAATAGACTCATATAAGCAATATAGCTTTGATAGTATAATTCGTTCGTTAGCGTAGAAACGCTTTCAATTTATACTTTTGAATTATTTAAAAGACCGTGTAAGTTCAATCTACGTTTCAGCTTACAAGTTTACAGCTGTTTCTTGTGTAGTATTGAATGTTTTGAGGCCTTTTAACACAAACAACGCTCCTTAGACTGGTTCATGTCAGCCATTTTTGCGGGCTAGTGTTTAATACGCATAATTTCTGTTTCATAGTATTCGGGAAGTCTAATTAATCATAATACGATGAAAGAAAGAGGGGTTGAACAGTAAACAAGCGTGTTAACGAAAGCTTTCATCTAAAACAAACATTGCCACTAGAAGGTCTATAGTCTCTGTTTGTTAAGCGGATACTCTCAATGCATTACAAAGTTTATTGTTAAGTGAGATAATGTAGCGACTTCCCAGAGTTGCTTTGTAATGTAGCGAGTTACTTTGTAGCAAATTGTGTTTAGTATAGCTCAGTTTCGTGTTTTGTCTATATATAGAAAGTATTGCATTAATAAGTTGACTGTATTTTGCATAAGTTTATATAGATCAGGCGTTTGATACACTAACTTCACATCCCATACAAAAACATGCATGTATGTATATGTTGCCGCGTTATATAGATTAATTTTTGTACTGATGATTTTCAAATGTGTATAAATGTTCGATCGCATGCATATATATATGCAGTTGTAATCAACACACAAACGCTATTGAAAATCGAAATTGAAATCGAAATACTCGTGTTGAAATAAAGCCTATATCTATAGTTGTTCCTCTCTAATTTGAATATACCGCAAGGGTACAAAAGTTGCATGGATGTGCAGTAATTTAGGTTTTTTAGAGAATGAGTTTTTATAATGCGCATTCCAAAATCTTCCTGTGTAGATCTAAGGAGATCTATTTACTCACTTAGCATATGGGCCAAGTCCTTTGTGAAAAGGTAAACTCCAGACTCTATCTATATATAATGCAGTAAGAATATTTCTATTTCTTCAGGATTACCTTTAAAGGTTTCGAGCGCTCCTATAGCCGGCAAACCTCTCTGTCTATAATGTACTGACCAAGTTATTGCTAATGTAAATAGATTAAATAATCTTTAATCCTTTTAAATGATTTCAAAAAGAGCTAATCCAAAACACAAACCTTGAGTTGGGAAACCACAATTGGGATCAAGCAATGCCCCGACCATGCCTTCAAGTAAGTCTTGATTCTCCGATCCTTTCCTTGGTGTACGAGACTTGCCTCGGTTCTGCAAGCCGTTCAAACCGCTGTTGTTCAACCGGCGTTCCTTCGATCTTCTGTTTTGGAACCAAACTTGGATAACTCTCATGGAGAGCCCTGTTTCTTGGGCGAGCTTTTCTCGCATGTGTCGCGTCGGTTTTGGCGTCGCAGAGAAGGCCGCTTTGAGAATCTCAAGTTGTTTCGCCTTGATGGTCGTTCGTGGTCCTCGACGTTTTCCGTTCGGTCCATTCTCGCCATCTTCATCCATCACAGATTCGTCTTCGTCCTTTGGAGCTTCGTCGCTTTCCGTTTCTGTTTTCTCGGGCGATTCTGAATCTAAGAAGAAAAACGCATGAAGATGACACGAGATTGTACCGGAGTTTGGAACTCTACCCAAATACGCGTCTAGTTCCATTTGTTCAGATAGAAAATGATTAGCTGTGCTTGAATTTGTATATTCTCATGCATCTTGTGTGAACTTGTAACGAGAAACTCCGCAACGATTTTGAATTCATCCAGTTCCGTGTAAAAATAGTCTAACATATAATCTGTTTAATCATGTTCTTCTTCGTAGAGATCCTCATAGCGTACAAGCATGCAGATTTAATCGTTCATTCAAAGGCTCTTCGTTCTTATAGTCCTTATAGACCCAAGTATAAAACCCAAATTGTCTTAAATCTTTTTCAAAGCTTGTTTAGGTTTATTCAATTCAGTTCCTTGACATTTCCGCGTTCTCAGCGTAGGTATAGTGATCTTGAAATTTCCGTCCCTTGTGGTGGATTTTCACTGGCCTTAAACCTGATGGTTCTCAAGGCACAGATAGTGGTTTTACACGTCCATATATAGATAGATATCAAATACCTGTCCTCTGCCTTTTGGTGGATTCTCAAAACTAAACTTCAAGCTATATTAGTTAGCGTTATATTGTTGTTAGTGATCTTAAAATCCTTTGGGGTAGAATTTCGCTAGCTTATAAACTTCTTAGCGCAAGTAGTGGTCTTGAAATACATGCAATGCTTTGAGATTCCTGCCTGAACTTCAAACGGTTGGTTCTGTTTGAAGGTAGCAGTCACGAAATTTCAGATATTTTACTTGACAGCCTGGATCATAAGGTAGTAAACCAAATGTTCCCTCTTTGTTATAAATGTCCATGTATTAAATCACTTTCCTCAGATCTAACCGATTCGTATTGCTGAATAATTCACATGTTGGTAAACCTTAGATATTTTTCATGCGCGTTGAGAAACAGGCTTTAAAATTGTTACGATGATGAATTAAATCCGTATCGAGGTGTATTGCTGTTGTTGTTAGTTACTTAGGAGCTGTAAAAATTCATGAACGATGTTTACCTCGTGTTGTTTTAAAAAACGGCTCGGTGTAATTTACATTTCTTGGAGCATATAAAAGTAAAGATTTCACTCAACAATCAAAAGACGATTGTCGAACGCTCGCACCTAATTTTATATATAAGCTTGTTAACTTTTAATTCATTCGCATGGCGTTGCAGCATAATATATTTCACATGAGATAGCTCTACACAGTACCGTTGTGTATAAGACGGTTCGTACGTGCTCTAAAACTTGGATAAACATAATATTTATATACTATACACACAAATTATAGAACAAGATGTTAAAATATTTCAACCTACTCTCAATATCCTGTTGTTGTAAGTCATAGTCCTCTTTGCAAACGAATTTATTCCCGCCAACATGGTACAACTCGTCACCAGTTGCAATTTCCTTCAAACACATTGAACAACAAAAGCATTCAACGTGAAAAACCATTCCTTTCGCGCGGCGGACCAAATTTGTCGGTAAAATCCCCTCGTCACATCCTGAGCACTTCGTGCCATAGCGCCTGTGGAAGACACAATGTTTTATTATTCAACTGATACAATCTATACGCGGTTGTCAAACTTTCAAGACAAGTTACAAGAATATATAACCGGATTAGCAGTTCCCTTACATCCGTTGAACATAAATCCCTCGTAACTTTTATCCCAAGTCCCTACCTGTAGAAATCCTTGGCGCAGTAAAGTTTGCCTTCTCGCGAATAACATTTCTCTGTGAGCTGAAGTTTACATTGATCGCATTGGAGACATTTTGTATGCCACATACAATCCAAAACTTTGAGCAAGTATTTGTCAGAAATAGGAAGATTACAGCCGGAACATTGAACCATAATTGTACCGAGGCTCGTTTTTCTTGCGCGCGCGTGTACGAAAATTGAGTCGAACGTATCAGTGTGCGAATCGTCCTAATACTGCTCGCATTCCAAGTGGAACAGTTTGTTTTTACAAATTTATGCCCATAGAACGCTTAACTCTTTTATTTCGCGCGATAGGTGGGATCCCCGCCTCTATTCCAGCTGTCTGCCTCATAAAAATTCAGAATAAATCAAGCGCCGCATGATTTAAATAACCCGTAATTTTTAACACGCATTTCGGCATTGCAACTGTATTCACACAAAACTTTGCAGCTTGTTATAAAAATCCCCAATGCATCACATTGAAATTGAGACGTTGGTTTTTTGAGCGCGATTCTTTGTCGTCTTTCCTGCGTCTTTGCTCAGCGCTGTGGAGGTCTCGTTTATTTTTGGCATTACCGAGCGTCAGGGAAACTAAGTTGGAAACTTGCGACAAAACACCGTTGTTTCATTGCTGCTCTTATAATAAATGTTAGTGGAAATGCATGCGTTTATGTTGGAGGGATTAGTGTTGGGAGTGAAGTTAGTTTGGGTTTCAACTCTCTGAGCTAACTAGCTGTCAATCAATGCAGATTAGCTTCCAGTGACAAGCCAAACGAAGATCAGAGAGGAGCCGACAATAATACGATATCAATGCAGTAGTTCTACATTCTGTTAACAAATACACTGTGTAAATTATTTTCTTTAATGCTAACCCAGCTCCCACCCAAGGCTTTACCCAATACACTGCTATTGTAAGATGAAGTATTTTCGACGTATTTTCCCATCGCAAACGTTGGGCAACGCTCTCGTCATACTGTTTGACATTCAATTTTCAAAGCGCTTTCAAGCGGCAAGCGGCGAACTGTATAAAATGTAACAAAACTCAACGTTCTATACGTAAATGGTTGCACAATCTTACGAAATGTTTACTTTTATTGTTGCTGGACATTGTTTGAACGATTTCCGGTCAAACACCAACTCATTGTTCGATAATTGAAATGTTTGAAAATTCAGCATGACGAAGAGCGACTAGAATTTTCCGTAGTTACACTTTCTCTTCGGCCACAGTATGAAGCTGTGACGACATGGACGCACTGTCTTGTCACACACTTGCACAGCTTTATCACTCTCACATTGCCTACAATGCAAGCCCCTTTCCGCTGAAATATTGTTAACCTCTTGACGATAATTTAATTCACCTGTATAGTGCGTAGTGTAGTGTATAGTGCAGCAAGATTTGCAAGTACAAACAATCCTTTAGTCCACCTTTGTATATTTTTTACGGCTGCAAACAGTAGTGACTTTCAAGACGAGCAGCAAAATTGCTACATTTCTGCAACTTGCAACAAAGCTGAGTTCAAACAACTTGTTATTGATGTTGCTGCAATATGTTTTGGAATAAGTTACAATTTTGTCGCTTATACATGCTTGCTACATAGCACATACATGTAAGGCCCCCTCAGTCTTATCTTTTGGGAAGTTATGTAAAATCATATTTTATTTTCTGCACAAAATGTGCAAAACCAAATCCATTTCTTGCAAGAAAATGCTATAGCTTCTCTGATTTCAAACTCAAGAAGATTCTAGCATCGAGCTTTCATATACTTGTCGTAAGTTACTGTGACAGTGTGACTCTACATCTTCAGTATAACTGATAAGGCTGTCTAGACTCGATACTCACTAGATTCTAAATTTAAGTATTTTTTACGCAGCTGCGAAGATATATCTCTAAGTGTTCTTGAGACTGTTGAGTGCTTTCTTATTAACAATCTTGCATGAGTAAATGAATATTTCAATATGAACAATCTTCTTTGGATGTCACCGGGACTATAGCTTTATTGAAACCCAATCTAAGTTTATATAATGCATATAGCTTATCCCATTAAGTTGAGGTATTATATATTGTTAGCTATATATGGATTTAAGATGCTGGGTTTTTTGTACGATACATACTAACAAACTTTACATACAGTACTCGTCGTTCATTTGCATTCAAAGTCGTTATATACATTGTGTTTTGAAGTGCATGTTAATATATTATATATGCAAAAGTTATAAAACGTTATATTTCCTCAGACAAATTTTAAAAATTAACGAACAAGAACGACATGGAAATTTCAAAGACTTTAGTGACGAAATGTTTTATTTATTCTTTATATATGCTTGATTTTTTTCTCGTGGTATTAATTACTGTATAGATTAATTATTATACATGCATGATGTTTTAAATGTTCACATGAGTATATTTTTATATTAAAATTTAATGTACGTGCTTTTGCTAAAAAAGGTCCTTAATCCTTATATTTGATGTAAAGATTTTGATATAGAAAATTTTGTCGTTGCGTTTGTATAGGAAATTTAATTTATCATATTGTAAAGCTTTATAACCTATAACCTATTATATAAATTTCCTACAATATCCTATTATTTTTTAAAATATTATATTGATTCGTTCTGGTCTTGCAATAATGCATATACAATGAATGTGTTTCTATATATATTCCCTGAGAGAATCAAAATTAGTTCCATTAAAAAGCCATGTCACAATTTTTGCATAATGTAACTTAAATTGCGACTGTTTGAAACAAGCAGGAAATTGCTTAGTTTTTCATAGCCTTTATAGAATAAAATTTAATTGATTCGAGTTTCTTTCTGTTTGTTAAGGCTATAATGTACATGTCTTGTTGATTAATAAACTCAAATTTAGATTTTGAGAACACACGATATATTATGCATCTAACTTTTAATAACAAATTAATTTCAAACTGATTGAAATGTTACGAATTTCCTAGCTTTAATTTCAAGAAAAATATACGTTTCTTGTATTATGTGAGAAATATTGCCATTATATTCTTTTCAATACAGTGTATATAGTTTTAAAACAATGTTAACCAATTCTAACTTATATATTTTATGTGGTCAGGTGGTTTTTATATACAAACAATGATAACCTATATGTTGATATGTATTTCATCCTATATCTTATACCTATAGATACTTAAAATTATAAACATATTAAACTGTTTTTACATTAGCAGCATATTTTTTCTTGATCATTTCAAAATAGAATAAACCTCAATCTATTTCCATAAGAGGACACTATATATTGGGACATTATCTCGTTTTCAATATAAAATCTGTTCGGCTCATGATTGCGTGTAAATTGCTTTGAACAGATTGTTTGCTGTAGATTATTGTTTGCAAAATATTGCCAGCTTTATTTGCATTGCTTTGCTAACAAGTCCAATATAGCATAGATCCATATAAACACCCTTTATTGCCAATCCTGATATTGCTTTTATATATAGCCTACATAAATTTGTATCTCGATGTTAATTTTTCAGATCATTCTTGTGACAGGCTGTTAGAAGCACCGTTTTTTATGTTAATTAGATGAGATTTCGAGAGCAAAATGTACAACATCAATAATACCGCGATAGTGTACTATATATAGTTACCATTGCACGGGATCTTGCATTGACAAATACCATTGTATGATATTAAAGAGAGTCATTCTATAAGTCCTTATATCTTCATGCACATACTCTAAGGTTGAGCAACTATACGAATTGTGACAACTATACAAGGATACTTATTGACAACCTTCCATATTGAAATCAGAGATTTGTCAAGGAAACGTTAAGTTATGACTTAACTTTTTGTGGATGAACACATAGAAAACTCTCGTCCACTAAAGCTTACGATATACTCTGTACGATTATATATGATGCGGCTTAGATTCATGAGGATTCTTGCAGAGAGTACGTTCATATACAATCCCATTTTCACAGTCAAAGGTCTGCATGAATCCCCTATTCCAAGCAACATAATTGCTTGTGAAAATCCAATCCCCTGCATATGTAGTGGTCTCAATCCTATATTTCCAAGGAAAAAAAATACTGGTATCAATCCGAGCTCTCATTTCATTGACGATCTCTCTTATATAAATTATATGTCAGAGGTGCATGGTTTATTTCTGAATGCAGCATGTATAAGAAATTGCACTGTTGGCTTGTGGAAAATACCAGGTATTTATCATTTATAGTTGCAAAGCTTTCTATCTATAACAGTGGTAATAATATAGTGGTGTTCTTCGCAAGCTCAAGCAAAGAGATATATTGTTTAATTTTCATGCATGCTACCTGCGTTCAAGGAAACTTATTCACCGATTATCCAGGCTTGTAAATTACAGTCTGCCTTAAAGTATATTTGATGCATATATGAGGCACAAGCCGTGTAGATTTTGATTAATGATAAGGAATTGTTATTCTTTTATCATTGTTAAATTTACACGTCGACTTGTTTACGTGTGTTTTGATATATAAAATGTTAATGAATGCAGTAAAAACATATGTTTTAACACCTTCGAACTTAACTTTGAATTGCATGTAAAATATAGAATTTTGTCTGTTTCACTATGTTAATCATAGATCTGTATAAATGCATAAGTAAATGAATGAACAATGTGGAATGTCTTCTATATTTGTCCAGCACTTGGTTTTTTAATTCCGGTTTCCAGAAGAGTGGAAACAAAAATGCATCTTTGCTATCATTCTTCAACAAACTTCTAGGGAGTAATCAATGCTTCAAGTTTCCTATAGCTATACAAGCATACATGATGATAAGGTCACCGTCCACAGCATTCGAGATATAGACAATTGAAAAACAATGTTCCCTTATTTTACTTGGTATGTAGATTCAAACTGTAGCCCCTTCTTTGTGGAAAATGTTTTGTGAACGTGCATGAAGGACAATAAAACATATAATATGCATTTTAATCTAGAAATCATTTTAAAGGACGCCTTGCAGTTGAAGATTGATGGCAAATGAAGCACTATAATCTATATCTTGATATAGTTTGCAGGTTTACAGTGAGGTGTAAATGAAGTGTTTTGATTTCGCTCGTGCAGGCAGCTGCTTTAGTAATAACGATGGGCGGTGTTTGAATATAGATTGAGTATTAAGTTTGATGTATTCATCATTTCCAAACTGTTTATGTGCAGGCCAGGCTAATTAGAGCAGATCATTCTTGGTTTGTATTTATACAAAAATTCATACTGGATTCAGTTTCCAGACCTCCTTTGCTTTTTAAAGCTAATAGTAATATATAGATAGACCCTATGGAGTATGGGCTTTGCCTATATATATAAGTATGAATGCCTTATGTGTCTGTGCAAATAGTGTAAATATTTCTTTTGAGTGAAAAATAGTGAAACAGCAATTTGTTATGGTCTTATAACAGTTCATGCGTGTACAGTATTTGTCATATGCAGTTATATTACAGTTGCTTTGCTTTATTTATAAAGTTAATTCTGCGTGTATTGAGGTTATGCTTATTTGACTATGGAGTATATATAGGTATCAAATGTCCTGTATATAAGAATTGCATGCCTAAAACCTTGACCATAAATTTTAATAGTGAAACAAGGATGTTTTGGGGAATTTCCTATAGTGCTGTAAACAGTTTCTGAGTGCACTACCTTGTCCTTGCAGCCATTAACACGTCAAACCTTTTATAGTATTTCCATATGTTTATATATAATGACTTGTTTACTTACTTTTTGACCTGCATTATAGCTAGATTTCAACTTTGCTATCTATAAACGAATAAAAATATTATAGAAGATATTATATACAGCGTAGAAATCACATGATTATAAATGATTACATATATTTAGAATACTAAAAGTTAATCCTTCGTTCCAGCTATATCTTTGATTAATCCAAATTCATCTTCCAAGACCAAGTTCCATAATTTTGCTTTCTCTATGTCGTTGTATCGTATTTCCTTCAATTTGATCAGAAAACTTACATTAGCATACAGCTCTTCCAATGGCCCTGCCTTTCCAAAAAGGACATTTTGATCACTCTTTGTTCAAAGTGGTTTCTCAAATTACTAATCACTTGACAGGCCTGCAGTGATTTCACGATGTTAGTCAAAAGCTAAGAAAACAACGCAGAAAAATAGCACCATTCTGTTGTTTTATTTTGTACATTTGTATCTTATTTTGTACCATGTATGTTTATTGTTTTAAACTGGGGGGACTTCGTTTATGATTTGTAGTTTATGTAGAAAAAGGGTTGCTTATGTCATGATGAAATTGTGATTCTGTAGTTCACAAGCGAATTGTTTTTGTCTTGCTGTGTCCGTGAATGGTCGTATAGTGTTTTCTGACGTTGAGGCAACGGAAATTAACTTACTCTCTCAATGTTCAACCCTGCGACAAAGCCGGTCCACTGCTTGAAACGTTCTACACAGTAGGGGTGGGGCGCTAATAAAGTAACCGTGCTTCTCTCCAGGGTCGTAGCTGCTGTGCAGTGCTAAGGCATTTGGCATCTTTGCAAATATGTAGCACCAAATTTAGGTGCATGCATGACCATCAAGCTTTTACCGCGTGTTTACCTTTTACGGCCTTTGGCCAATGAGTTAAATATGGTTACATAGGGGTAGTACATATGAAATGGAATGTGAGATATCTTAAAGTTTATACACAACTCACTGAGTAAAGTATAATTAGATTATTATAGAGAGCTGGTACACGTTCTTGGATGTGCGCTACCTTAAATGGATCTGATGTTGCACAGAACTCGTGTGAGTAGAACAAGTCTCCGCTGTGTTGACTGAGCTGATGAATGAGTATCTTTTTCTGTTTGGGGGAGATGCCGGTGGTTTGATGTCCCACCCAGAAGGAAGTCACTCTCGCCAGTTGAGTACTGCAGAAACCAGGCATATGAATAGGCCTACCTGTATAATTATCCACTTGGCTGCTGAAAGTAGAGTTATCGTAAAGTTGCCTGTGCAGTGAATTAAATAGATTTTTAATGATTTCGATTGAAAAGATTCAAGTCACTTTAATATACCAAAAATGGTGATTACATATTTCTTATATGGTGAAAACGAATCTGGTTTAACTCATCCGATATTATATATTGTAGAAGAATTAGAAGTCTCTGGAAGCAAGTCTAATTCGTGCCTACACGTAAAGTGATTATGTGAAGATAGTTTTACTGTGAGGTATTGTGTTTACAACTCACTCTCAAAAGCAAACAAACAACGTTTTTGTGTACATTTCAATGTTTAAATTGTTTAATTAACGGCTCTTGTTTGCTTTTCAATTAAAAAATTAACAACTTTTCGGCACATTTCCTGTGGGCGAATTTGCGTAACTCCGGAAATCTGTGTGTACAGTACACGAAGAACGGCCATTTAGAATTTGGAAAAGCATGCTGCAATTTGAAAGTATTTAAAACGAAGAATATCCAATTACAAACGAGAACGTTGAAGACTTGCATTTCCAACGAAGAACAGTCAGCTGGAATGAAGAACATTCAATTAGAATGAAGAACATCTAATTAGAATAAAGAACACACATTTATAGAACGACGAACGTGCAATTAGAATGTATTAAATGCGAAAAAGAACGAAGAACATGCAATTAGAACGTGTAATATTAATTAGAACTAAGAACATGTATTTAGAACGAAGGACATTCAGATAGAACGAAGGCCATTTGGTTAGAACGAAGAACATGAATTGAATAGAATAATCGGACAAGAATTCATGACACAAAAAGAGTTACTGAGCTGAGAATATATATAACGGAATAAAAGAAATGAAATATTTTGTATACAAATTCATATTGCGCAAACTTTACTATGCTTTAGTTTAGTAACTTTATGCTACTGCTATTGTTTGTTCGCACCTGTAAGAAAACCCCGGGAAGTCGGGCACCTGCAATGCCTGCCATTCACTGAGAATGCAGGAACGTTGAGGACCCCATGGACAGCGTTGACCTTCATGCATGTTTGATGAAGAATATTCAATACTCTAGGAGAACAACTGCAATATATCCATGTCTGATTTGACCGAATTCAATTTAAAACAACAAAAATTCTATATAGTTTACATTCTCGGCATAAAAGCACAGCCAAGAACTTGCCTTCTATAGGTCCAACGACTCGATGCCTTATTGGCACGCAAATTGTCTGGCGTTAGACAGAAGAAGATACTTAAAATTCAGGCCAAGAACTTTCCCATTGCCAAGTAAAGCCGTGCCAGTAATTGTCATATTGTCAGGAATGAGGAAATTGACCATATCCTAATTTTGCATGCATTCTGTAACTTACTATATTTGGAATGAACTTCCTGCTGATATTTAAAACTTTAAATCGTTAACCCAGTTTTGTACTTTAATTTCTAAAATAGATTTTACTGACAAGTCAAATCTGGGTTGTAAGTGTGCGAGATGAATGTAACTTTTCACATATCACATTTTAAAATTTAGTTCTAGATATGTAATAATTACCTATTTTATGATTGTACAGAGTAGGTAGTCAAGCATTTTTAACATGAGCCAATGGCTCAGGATGTTGAGCAATCATTCCCATCGAATAGTTGATTAATATAGTGTACCCACCAAATTTGGTTCATGATATCGATGCACTTCCATCCAGTTCAAACATTACTCAAATGACTAGTTCTATTTCTCAATGATATTGCAAACAAATCGATATATTGTACAAGTTTTATAAAGTGATCGTTAAAACAGTTGGGGGCTAATGGATCACTATATAGTTTTGCCGTTTCATTTTTTTATTTAAATGACATTATTCTTTCCGTTTGAATTGTTGCGTTTTATTTGTGCGAGAAAAAGTTACATAGTTTATGAAACTTTATATACAGACTGGCTAGTAAAACGTCCTGGAACTTTATAGCGGATTGCTCTATCAATTCTAAACTGTTCATTTAGCTTGAAGTCCAGTAAAAGTCATCCCTTGTAGGTCTAGTGTTACTATACAAGAGGAAACGTGAACTGAACAGTAACTTTATTGAAGCCAGATATCTGAGCTCCATCAATTCTAAAATGTTGCTCCAAAGAGGTATAATACCCCTTATTGCATGATCCAGTGTTACTACAGGAGGAAACCTAAACTAAACTAATACTGATAGCTCTATCAGTTGTAAACTGTTCTCCCTAGAGGTGCAGTTAAAATCATCTCTTATTGGTTTAGTGTTACTACCGGAGGAAACCTAAACTAAACTAACTTTATTTATACTGATAGCTCTATCAGTTCTAAATTGTTCTTCCTAGAGGTGCAGTTAGAATCATCTCTTATTGATCCAGTGTTACTACAGGAGGAAACCTAAACTAACGTAACTTTATTTATACTGGATAGTTCTATCAGTTCTAAACTGTTCTTCCTACTGAGAGGTCCAGTAAGGATCATCTCTTATTGATCCAGTGTTACTACAGGAGGAAACCTAAACTAACCTAACTTTATTTATACTGGATAGCTCTATCAGTTCTAAACGGCTTCCTAGAGGTCCAGTAGGGATCATCTCTTATTGATCCAGTGTTATCATGTCTCATTGTGTCATAGGAGAAAAGCGCGGCGTACTAAAAGGAAACCAATTTCGGCAGCTAAAGCAGTCGGAATTTAATATGTGATCTGATGCTGAACTACAGAAGGTTCCAGAAGATTTCCAACTTCCATTTTGCAAATTGAGTAACTTTAAGTAAAATATACCGCACCACAAAAGGCCATTGGAGGTCGTTGCATTTTGTTACATTTGAAAGAATGTAATGATGGATTACTGGTCTGTGTGGTAGTAACCTGCGTGGTAGTGTTTCATTGACTGTGTGAAAAAACTTCTTTTATTTCCTTTAGCCAAAATAATCCGCGGGTATTAACTTAATTTAACAATGATTGCTACACGAGTTGAAGTCTTAAAGTTACAGCATGCTTCTCATGGTGAGCAAGAAATGATTTTTCGAATCTTCTCGAATGTTGCCGTTGTGGATGAGTGCTTGGGGTACCAGATGGTGTCGAAATCGACCCCATACCTCTTCACACTTATATATAGACACAAGAAAATTGAATTATAACTTACAATTCTATTTATTTGCCACCAAATACAAGTCTCGAGTCTTCTGCTCTTTCGTAACCTTTCTGCTGGTTTTAATTAACCACCTTCAGATCTGTGCTAAAGCCTGGTTTTACACTATCAAACGTTTCTGTGATCACAGTAGGAATTTTGCATGGGTAAATTCTAAGTTTTAAAGGATTTGTAAGAAATGTTTGAGGGAATTGATTCCGTGTTTAACACTGAGTACGTTCCCTCAACATTTCTTACAAATCCTTCGAAACTTAGAATTTACCTTTAGTCTTTACCCATTCGCAGGCTAAAACCCATAGAGAGGCCTGCGGAGGAGGGTAATTTGGCGTTTATTAAAGCGTTCATCAGAATGCATAGAAACGAGCATGAGGGGAAACTCTGGGATTGTATTGTGATCGGGGCAGGTATTGAAGGTAGTAATGCCGCAAGATATTCCGCTAAACTTGGAAAAGACACTTTGTGTTTGGAGCAGGTAAATGACATTTTATGTTTGTGTATTCTAAAACGTTCATTTACTACAATCAAAACTTGATTAGTTCGACTGCTTACGTTCCAACTTGAACGGATCACTTTCCTAAATATGGTTACAGAGTAAACACCATTAAAATATTAAGGGTTTTTCCAGTCTGTCGATCAAGTTCTTAGCAAGTGCCCTAAAGAGAGGCTGTCACCCTCCTGAAATTGTATTGAAATTAAATGTTCCAGGGGGGGGGGGGTGAATGCCTCTGGATATTTGACTTGCAAGAAATTGGTGTTTTAATAATGATATCCAAGGAAGGAAAAATCCCTAAAGGGGTTTCAGTAATGGAATAACCGAGCCTTAAATAGTACTCAGGCTTTGAGAAATGTTGTTTATAGTTAATTTACCCCTAGAAGAGGGCCCCCTATACCTCTTCATAATATGCTTTCACGTAAAAATATTTTGCTTTTTCACGAGTCACAGATTAAGAAAATCATCGATCATGTTTCATGGCTAAGTAAAATAAGCGCTTCACACAAAAATTATAGGGGGCCCGATCACGTTTCACGGCTAAGTAAAATAAGCCCTTCATGCAAAAAGTATAGGGGGCCCTCCTAGAACATCACTGAAACCACCATGTACTATTTTATTTCTAGTTTCCCCTCCCACACAGCCGGGGCAGTTCACATGGACAATCAAGAATCATTCGTCACTCGCATAATCTTCATGACGCCCATTTGTCCAGAATGATGCCAGAAGCATTTAAATTGTGGGAGGAAATTGAACAACTTGCAATGACCCAGTTATTTATGTAAGTAATCAGGGCTCAACTGCATAGTTCAGTGACTTCAGTCGTTTGTATAATTAAAAAATAACAGCTTTTTACTGCTACTGGAGAAGTCAGGTAGTTCAGGTACAAACCATGGCAACTTATTTTAGAATACTACCTACACTGGACCACCACATTTGAGATATCTTTTTCCTGAATGAAGTTCAGACACAAACCATGGCAGCTTATCGACCACAAAAAAATAAGGGAAAAGATAGAAATGTCCCAACAAATATGTTTTACAAAAAAAATGTTTTTCTGTCAGAAATTTCCCATAATATTTGTTGTCTCTGAAGGCAGGGGGGGGGGGCTCTAGATCACACATGTTTGACACTGTTTTATTCTTTAGCAACTGTGGTTATCTTGAAATTGAAGATTATCCGTATACAACACTTCAAGGGATCTTGGCAAACCTGCAAGACAATGGAATCTCAAGTGAAATGGTCAATGCACAACAACTGAAAGAGAAATACCATTTTGATGTTCCTGAAAGCATGCAAGGACTTCTTGAGAGAACTGGGGGTGTTTTATTGGCAAGCAAATGTCTTCGAGCAGTACAGGTAACATGAAACAACACTTTCAGATGATATGATGTTAAACCATCATGTGAGAATGTGGGTGCTCCCAGTTTGAGTCAACCAAACACCTGGACCTCTAGGAAGAATAGTTTGGAACTTATACAGGTAGGACTATCCAGTACAAATAAAGTCAGGTAGGTTTCCTTCTGTAGTAATTAACACTGGATCAATAAGAGATTATCCTTACTGGACCTCTAAGAGAAACATGCAGTTTAGAGTGAGTAGTCCAGTGTAGATAAAATTAGTTTAGTTTAGTTTAGGTTTCTTCCTGTAGTAACACTGGATCAATAGGAGATGATTCTTACTGGACTTCTAGGAAGAACAGTTTAGAACTGATAGAGCTATCCAGTATAAATAAAGATAGTTTAGTGTGTGTTTCCTCCTGTAGTAGCACTGGATTAATAAGAGATGATCTTTACTGGACCTGTAAGGAGAACAGTTGATGAGACGGAGAGCTCAATTATGTTTGTTTGATTAGGATCAGTTTGTAAAATTTGGTGGAGTTCTTCATGACAATGAGAAAGTTTTGGAAATAATTCCTGGAGATTTTGTACAAGTGAAGACAAAGAAAGGATCCTACAGAGCGAAGAAACTCATTTTAACACCAGGTAGAACTACGTTTTATGTAAAAATCTTCATGAAAACCAATCTCCATAATTATTTGTAAATCCTATAATAAGACCTGCTTGAAGGTAGGAACCTTTCCCTGATTGGCCATCTTCTACAGGAATATGTTTTATTAAGCCCCACCCCATCACCCCATGTGTACTGCTCAGAATGTCCTGTCAGAGTGTGGTTCTTACCTGCTGTGTTGCCATAGAATCAATGACTCTTCCCTCTTTAAGTCTGCATCTCCAATAGGACCCCCTCTCCAATAAGTACCCCTCTCAAAGAAGTCCCCCTCTCCAATAAGCCCATCTTTGACAAACTTCCTCTCCAAAAAGTCCCTCTCTATAAAACCTCGTTGGAGTAAGCCCCTTTTCCAATAAACCCCCATCTTCATCAAACCTCCCTCTTCAACAAGCCCTATTCTAATTAAGACCTCCTCTCCAATAAGCCCCCTTTTCCAATAAGCCCTCCTCTCCAATAAGCCCTCCTCTCTAATAAGCCCCCTCTCCAATATTAAGCCCTTCTCTCCAAAAAGCCCTCTTTTCCAATAAGCCCTTCTCTCCAATAAGCCCTCTTTTCCAAAGCGCCCTTCTCTCCAAAAAGCCACCCTCTCCAATAAGACCTCTCCAATCAGCTCGCCTCTCCAATAAGCCCTCCTCTCCAATAAGACCTCCTCTCCAATAAGACCTCCTCTCCAATCAGCCCTTCTCTCCAATAAGCCCTTCTCTCCAATAAGCCCTTCTCTCCAATAAGCCCTCCTCTCCAATAAGACCTCCTCTCCAATAAGCCCTTCTCTCCAATAAGACCTCCTCTCCAATAAGACCTTCTCTCCAATAAGCCCTCCTCTCCAATAAGCCCTTCTCTCCAATAAGCCCTTCCCTCCAATAAGTCCTTCTCTCCAATAAGACCTCCTCTCCAATAAGCCCTTCTCTCCAATAAGCCCTCCTCTCCAATAAGCCCT